TTGCATCACTTCCGAGCAATGTATCATTTCTAATCGTGCGATAAACGTCAACAAAATCCTGTCATCCGTAGTTCCATCAATGCACGCTGATGCTCGCACATGCACATCGTAATTCTAGAAGCTTCCCCATACTATTTTATCGCCCACTGCCGCTTCCTCCGCATTCAAGCACGCGTTGGAAAGCAAGCAAACTTCGATAAGCCACAACACACGGTGGCATCGCTTGTAAACACTACTCGAACTATTTACTTCGTTCAACTGATGGTTTGAAAATCTTCCGCAGGGCATCATCCGTCAGCGGCCGGAATCTCACGTAGCTCTATCCACCTGTGACCACGGCATCCGCGGAGTGGTGTACGATCACGATGCGACGTATCTGTTGGATTTCGAAGATGTCGGCTCCCGGAAGCAACACTACATCTACAGGCGACCAGGATTTAAGTTCCGCAATCATCGGGTATGTATCCTTGTCGATAATCTGTTTTGATCTTAAGTTCTGACCAAGTCTTTACATTCCAGACCAAGCGTGCCCTCGAAGCGATGGACTCTCCCACGGTTGACTCCATCCGAGCGGCGTACAAATCGAACGCCGCGTCCAGCTACGTTGAACTGGTGCTGGTCATCGACAATGCCCTTTACCGCAGTACCAGCAACGATCAGCGAATTCACCGATACTGCCTGGACTTGGTGAACGTGATGAACGCCATCTACCGTCCGCTCAACATCTACATCGCCCTGGTCGGGGTGGTCATCTGGTCCGACCGGGACCAGATCGAAATCAGCTCGGATTCCAAGAAGACGTTGGAGAACTTTCTCAACTATCGAAGAAACACGCTATTGAAGATGATCCCACACGACAACGCGCAACTGTTGACGGGTGTTCACTTCACCGATAGTGTTGTGGGGAAAGCAGAGTTGGGTTCGATGTGTACGTATGCGGGATCCGGTGGAGTCGAGGTCGTCGACACAAAGTTCGTTGCCTTGCAGGCCAGTACCATAGCACACGAGATGGGCCATAACTTCAACATCGATCACGATGGACCGGACTGCCACTGTCCCAACGGGAACTGTGTGATGGCATCGAAGACAGTTCGTAGCCAAGCGGCTCCCAACCATTGGAGTTCGTGCAGCGTGAGGGATTTGGAGACGGCCTTCAAACATGGGCTGGGGTCCTGTTTGAAGAACAAACCGGAGAAAATGTTCGTGAAGAGCACCTGCGGGAATGGGTTACTAGAACCCGGTGAAGAGTGTGATTGTGGACTGGCTGACGTTTGTGATACCAAGTGCTGTGACGCAATGACCTGTCGACTGACGGTGAATTCAACCTGTGCGAATGGAGAGTGTTGTGATCTGGATAGCTGTCAGGTGAAATCAGCAGGGGTTAAGTGTAGAGCGGCAGCAGGAGAGTGCGATTTGGCAGAGCACTGTGACGGGCAGTCGGCTGTTTGCCCGCGAGATGTCTACCTAAGAGATACGGAGCCTTGTGCCAGTGGAAAGGCTTTCTGCTTCAAAGGGCAATGCCGGACGCGCGATAGTCAGTGCAAGGTGCTATGGGGATCGACGGCCAAGTCGATCGACGAATATTGCTATCAAACGAATAAGAATGGATCGATTTTCGGAAATTGCGGGAACAATTTACTGACCGGAGAGTATACGAAATGTAGCCAGGAGGACATGATGTGTGGGTTGCTGCACTGTAGTCATCGGAATGAAAAGTTGGACTTTGGTATGCAGGCATACTCCAAGTTAACAACGACAAAGTTTAGCCATTACGGACCTAGGGGTACTGTTAGGGAGACTATTTGTAACACTGCCGTAGTGGATCTAGGATTAGAGGTCGTCAATCCCGGGCTGGTTCCGGACGGCGCAAAATGTGGAGCGGGAAAAATGTGCTGGAAGCAGAAGTGCGTATCGTTAACGCATCTACAGGAGAACGATGTGGGAGAGGATTGCACCGACGGCTGCAACGGGCATGGCGTGTGTAACAGCGAAGGAAACTGCCACTGCGACATAGGATATGGAGGGCAGTTTTGCGAGAAGTCCGGTCTTGGAGGGTCTGTGGATAGCGGGCCCATCGTAGATCCGGATGAATCGTTGAACACTTTCTGGACATTCTTCGTCCCAACTGCTCTGCTATCGTTAGCAATCGTGGCAGGAGCTTACTTCTACCGAGACAGCATTACGGAACTGTTCAGGAAGCTATTGATCAAATTCCGAATGCGAAAGTACGGCCACATGGTACCGCCGGCTTCACCCACAACAACAGGCCCGCCGAAGCCACCACGAGTGGAGATATCTTCTCCGACACTTAGTGCAACAACGTCCAATACGATTAAGCTTCCGAAGAAGACCGATACCACCATACCGACGCGGGCAGCTCCTGCTCCACCAGTAGCACAGCCCGAACCAGCTCAACACTTCATCAAAGTGAACATCAACAACAGCGGGAAGATCACCATCGAAAACAAGATCGTCAATTCACCATTCATGCTAACTTCACCCCTTCTGGATGCGCACGAAGCCATCCACGAAATCAAAGCCAAAGGTCCTCCGGTAATCCTGAGTCAACGCTCGATCAGCGTCGACTCGGAAAGCCCTCTTCTCAACGCCACCGCCCAGACTCCCGTCGTAGACACCCCACCCATCCCGGGCACCCCCGAACCGGACCTCGGTACCCTCCTGAGTCAGGTCAAGCTCAAGAAAGTGCAAGGTTTCCAATCTCATCGATCGAAAAGTGACGAGAAACCGGCTCGACGGTTACCACAACTCCCTCGGCAGAAGACCATCGGTGAGTTCCAAAATATCGTCGCCGAAGTCCACCCGAAGCGAAGCCCGGTAACGGAACTCCCACCCACTCCCAATCCCTTCGCTGAAGTCCAACTGAAGAAGATCAAACCACGCACTCCGAACCTCCAAAGTCGAGAAAACCTGGACGAAATCATCGAAGAGCGAAGTCATCCTCCAACCGTTCAAAAGCAGCGACCGACCGTGTCGGTGAAGCCATTCCTCAAACCTAGTCTACCTCAGAAACCTCCCCAAACCAACCCGGACAATCAACAGAGCAATCCGAAACCAGCCAGGAAGCTGCCACAGATTCCGCCGCCGATTGCGAAGAAGACTGCCGAAGGTTCCAATAAGGGTAGCAGTAGCAGCGTGGCTGCGCTGAAAGCGAAGCTCAATCTTGAACAACTTTCCGGCGGCGGATCCAAACGGTGATTAAAGTTAGGAATTTGAAACGAAATCTTTTCGTACAGATTTGTTGGTTAGTTATTGGTCTTGTTGAGGTCCGTCCCTCACGCTGAGGGTGGAGCATGAAATTGTTAATTTTGGACCAAGTTTTTTGGAAGCCACTTTTGGGTCTTGAATAAGATTATTCTCAATTATTGTGATTTGAAGTGAAGCAACACAGGACTGTTGCGTGCTACTTATTGAATAAGTACTTAATCTAGTATAGCGTAAGGAGGAATTATAAATGTACATTTATAAAGTATTTAAATTAGACTGCTTACGGATTTAGAGGTTAGGCGCTTGGCGAAGAAGAAACATCGAATCACATATCGAATAATAAACGACTAGTCAATTAGGGTTACAAGTTTTGAACCGGTGGACTTTTTTTTTGTTTATTGATGACACTTTGACCGGTTGAACATTTTTCGATACATCGACGAACAGTATAAGTGCGGAAACGCTTAAGAAAGTGCGGTTTTTCCTACGTTAAATCATTTTGAACTAAAGCGCACTTTAGTAGCGACTCCACACTTTCTTACACACAAATGCAAAACAATAAATCAATTTCCAGTCCAGTTTCAAATGAAAAATCAATATATCTTTTGAGAAAACATAAATAATGCGTTCCATGGGATAATATAGTATGTCAACATGGGATGAAAATAGCAATACCGTTTTTACCATTCAAATAATGTGACGGCTAACGACGTTACATGTCGCAAGGAATGCATGCATTGGATACACGTGACAAGAATGTGTGCGTCTTAGCTAATGTGACAATATTTTTCTTCACGGCTGCTTTGACTAAATCAGTGAGTGAGTGTCGTTTACTCAGTTGTGTGTTTATTTATTTATTTATTTATTAATTAATTAATTAATTAATTTATTTATTTATTTATTTATTTATTTATTTATTTATTTATTTATTTATTTATTTATTTATTTATTTATTTATTTATTTATTTATTTATTTATTTATTTATTTATTTATTTATTTATTTATTTATTTATTTATTTATTTATTTATTTATTTATTTATTTATTTATTTATTTATTTATTTATTTATTTATTTATTTATTTATTTATTTATTTATTCATTTATTTATTTATTTATTTATTTATTTATTTATTTATTTATTTATTTATTCATTTATTTATTTATTTATTTATTTATTTATTTATTTATTTATTCATTTATTTATTTATTTATGCATTTATTTATTTATTTATTTACTTACTTACTTACTTACTTACTTACTTACTTACTTACTTACTTACTTACTTACTTACAGAACCCTCATAAATCCAAAATTGTGACTAGGGGTTTTGTCACACAGCTCAGATAAGCCTGGAATCACAGACAAACAGACATAACACATTGAATATTTCTCACTGTAAATCATCGTCGCAAAAACATTACCGCCATCTGTTGAATACACTGTGGTGGGTAGTACGCTGAACAGATGGCGGTAGTGTGTAAACGTCAAACGCAAGGGAATTGACTATGCGCGCCACAGGTGGCGGTACTACCAACTAAGATACTTTTAAATTGACCGTTAAATGCTTGTTCGATGAGCAACTTGCGAGTGTTATGTTTGTTTGTCTGTGCTGGAATGATGCTTGCTTACACTCTAATTTCATGTTAAAGGATTGTCTTCAAACGAGGCCTTAAAGAAAGAGAGCTGAATTGCACCTTAAACGAGTTTCAGTTAACTGACTTTGTTCTCGAACCCACAAAAACGGAAGTCATCATCATCAAAAAATCGAAACTTTACTGTAACGACGACTCCCTTCCACCATCCTCCACGTGCTTCGACACTCTCCCCAACCGTTCTTGAATCTCCTGCAGGCTCAATCCTTTCGTCTCCACCACACAGAACATTGTAAACACGAAGGCTACCGCACAGATGATCGCAAACATCCAGAAGGCCCACTCGAAGCCGAACGATTCGCTAATCAACAGGAAGAATCTCAACGCCAGAAAGTCCAAAATCCACGAAACCGACACGTTGATCGTATTTCCAATGGCTTTCACATCGTGTGCGAAAATCTCTGAAGCTATCGCCCACGGTACCGGCCCGAAGCCAAAGTTGAAGATCGCTATGAACCCCAGCATGCCCGTCAAGGGAATCCATCCGATGTACTTTGAGTCCACGTTCATTTGCTCCATCATAAAGAAGGCTCCCAGCAAGGTCAGTGCAACTGAAAGTCCCAAGGCGGAACTCATCAGGACCGGTTTCCGACCGACGCGGTCCACAAATAGCAGCGTCACACAACAACAAACCACTTGAATCGCCCCCATGATAATGGTGGACACATCTGCCGATAGCGATATTTGCGCTTTCTCGAAGATAAGCTCACTGTTCGAGAGGATGCAATCGATTCCGGTCCACTGTTGAAGCGAAATCAGACAGAAACTGATTGTCAGCGCTTTCAGGTTGGACCGCTGGGTGAACAGGCTCTTCAGAGAGTTGGTGCTCTGGATATGTTCATCCCTTTGTAGGAACTTCTTGATTGCTAGCAGGTCGGGTTGAATTTCATCGGCTGAAGCGTCCCGGAGATACATCAACGAAGCCGCAGCTTGCTGATATAACCCTTTGGATACAAAGTAGTGTGGCGTTTCCGGCATATAACCGAAGACAACTAAGAAGAGTAACGGCACTGCACAGCAGATCCACTGGAAGGCGTAGTATCCCACGTACGGTCCGATGCTGTAAACGTACAGGATGCCAACTGGAAGTGAAGGTGTCCATTGATCGACAACTCATTACTTTTCTCCTTTAAAAAAAAAACCTTACCCGTCTGTCCAATCTGTAGGAAAGATCCCAAAATGCCTCGATACTGATCGCTGGCAATCTCGCCGACGTACATCGGGAGCGTAACCAGAATACAGCCACTGCCAAAGCCCAGCACGATCCGCGCAGCTATCATCATCGCAGCCGAATAGGCCGTTAGCAGCACAATCCAACCGACGACGTGCACCATTGCACTGAGCAGCAACGTAAGCTTTCGACCTCGTCGATCGGCCAGGAACCCAGCGGCGAACGGTCCGAAGAAGCCACCAATCGCCAGGACCGAGTTGATCCAGGACTGTTCGCTCTCGACGATGACCTTACCGATGGGATTGTCCGAAAGGCTCTCCTCGGTGAGCTTCTTGAACATGGGCGACGGCCACCCCAGTGCTATGCCCATGATCATGGCCGAGATGGTGGCTGGAATGAGATGGTTCTCGGTGAGATTTCCCGGAAATTATGGATGAAGTCTGCGAAGGTTTACCAACACCAGCTACCAGAAATTCACGAAACGTTGCTCGGGAACGGTGCATCGTGCGTCTACGGTGAACTGCTGCAATCAAATCACTGCATCTGTTTTCGATATCATTGATGCAACTCAAACAGAGGTTGGGAGAGACTTCAAAGTGGATAAAGGTAAATACTTAGCTGGAACTGGAACTGATAAAAGGGTGATGGGAAGTGTGTACCTTGTTTGGCATAGCAAGGGCCATCTGTTTGAGGATACGCAACTGTGGTAATGGCATGATTAGCTCAAATGTACACGCAATAATTAGCATAAGAAAAACTTCACATGTTCGCACTCAATGTCAATTCGCCGGAAGTATTTCCTAACTTTAAAGTATTAGGGTAACCAACTTGAATTGGACCCCTACATATTTTGGACCCTTTTCATATATTTTCCTCGCTTACTGTCTAGTTTCTTCAAATTCATCTGGGTTGATGTTGTAATTACATTCTTTCAATTACTTGCTATGTCTCAAGATCATCAGTTTACCTCAAATTGCTTACAATTGCTCAATTTATGCAGTTTTAGAAAATGTTATCGAAAAAGTTTCATGTTTCGACGTTTGTCAAGAGGAATCGACGTTAGTGTACTTGTTTTAAATTTGGTCTAAAATATACAATTCAATGATTTTTTTTTATCAAATCAGTTTATCTGACTTTGGAAGATGTATTTCACGAGTTTATAAAGATTTCACCTTAAGATTTACTTAAAAAGTATTAAATTAAAAGTGTCCAAAAAAGATCGTAAAAAAATGTTACCAACTTATTTTGGACACTTATCAAATGAGAATCATCAAAAGAGCGACAAAAAAAAATTCCGGTTGGTCGATCGTGCTATTATCTCAGATTTCTGATTAAATTGGTAAGTAAATCAATCAAAATTATATGAATTCATTGTTTTTTAATATATTTCTTGTTTATCAGGCGATTCAAAATGGGAAAAACGGCAGAACACGTAGAGTAGTCCACTCTGAGTTTTCCTAGTTTTCCAAGCTCCTAGTTTTCCACAAAAGTTTTCCTATCTCCCAAACGCATTAAACTAAGGGGCTGTTCATAAACTACGTAGACGCTTTAGGGGGGTGGGAGCGCTTGGCAGATGTCTACGGTCCATACAATTTTTTAAATTTTGTGTTTGAGACTGTCTTCTACGGAAGGGGGGGGGGGGGGGTTGAAATCTCTCAAAAACCGTCTACGTAGTTTATGAACAGCCCATACAAAAATTATATGGACTGCAAGCATATAGTCAGGTCTCCGTATTAAGATTTACTTCTGAATGATTTTTTTTATGGTAAGATCAGTTGTTTCCTTATGTTATATTATATTTCCTCCGTTACTCGCGCCAACTTTTGTAACACGAGTACTCACGCGTTGTACTTTGTACAACAGTGTGAGTTTTCCATTTCCATTTTGCAGCCGAGCTACCAAACGATCTGAAATCAACGAGTATTCCTCAAAAAACTTGCTTTTAACTAAACAAGCTAAATATTTATTACAGTTAACCCCCAAAATATGCGGATAATAGAGAAAATGTAAATGGAAACCGCGTGAATGGTGTCCATACTACGAGGGTTCTGACTTAATTGGTTACAACATGGAATATCTCGAGATCCTGACCAGATAGAAAGTTACTGTCTTTGCCAAAGTAGTTCTAGAGATCATAACCTTTTTGCTGGTGGACAGTAGTTCAAAATTTACTCACTACATAGCGCTAGTATACATGTGAAGTTCTCGCATGTGATATATCTCGAAATCCTGACCAGATAGAAAGTTACTGTCTTCGAAAAAGTTGTTCAGTAGTTCAAAGCCTATAGTTCAGAATTTTTTCACTATATGGTGCTAGTATATACGTGAAATTCTCATATAAAATATCTCGAAATCCTGATCATATAAAAAGTTACTGTCTTCGGCAAAGTTGTTCAGGAAGTCAAGGCCTTTTTGCTGGTGCACTTAAGTTCAGAGTTTTCTCACTTTGCAACGCTAGTATACATGAGGAATTCTCGCATATAAAATATCTCTAGATCCTGACCAGACAGAAAGTTACTGTCTTCGGCAAAGTTGTTCAGGATGTTAGGATCTTTTTGTTGGTGTACAGTAATTCAGAATTTTCCCTTTACGTGGCACTAGTATGCGGGCCATTTTTTTTTTTTTTTTTTTTTTTTTTTTTTTTTTTTTTTGTAAAAGTGAAGTTTTATTTGTCAGTTTAGCATACAAAGTTTTTTTGTTTTACCGTCAATTTGCTACATCAAGATTAAAGTTCAAATCAGCTAAATCAATTCTTCCGTTACAATCGTTAACGAAGCAGATATATGTAATAAACATATTCAGAATTGCCACTCTATGTCTGTCGTTTATTCCTAATAGGGCAGGTCTTAGCAAGTCTTCGAACTCGAGTCGCCTCCATCCACCCAAGATGACTGCTATTCTCTGCTGAAGAACCGTCCAAGCCGGGCCGACGCGAGCACAAGCACAAAATTTGTGGGAGAGAGTTTCTGCTGTACGGTTGCCACAATGCGTACAGTTTTCGTCATCTACTCGCCGCATCACGAATAGCAGTTTGCGGTGCTCTATCTTCTCGTTCACCAACAAGTAAAGCTTCGTCCTCTGCGCTGAAGTAAGTTGCCTCGATGCAATGTTTCGCCATATGCGTGACCAGCCACTTGCTGGACTGTTACGTTCCACCCTTGGTAGCTCAGTTTGCTGGACGAAGTACTGGTGAATTTGATCGGTGGAAGGGTTCTGTTGGATTTGGTGGGGAATTTGGGATAAGTTTGATAGGATTTGTCTAAGGTCGGGAAGATCTATTGAGATGGCTGGGCGGGGATTATCGTGGAAAAGAAGGGATCTATAAAAAGGAAGGGATTCGATCTCTTGTAGGTGTCGGTTGATTGCGAGTGACTTACATTTCAGAGCTGGTAATTGCAGCTTCAGGCCTCCATTCTCTCTGCTGCGTGCCAGCTGCATCATTGGGACACGGGCGACAGTCCCTCTCCAGAGGAACGTACCCATTGCTGATGTGATTTTTGCCGTATGCACTCCCAACGGCGGTAGTATGGACGCGAGGTACCATATCCTGGACGTTCCGAACGTGTTGAGCATGATGACCCTTTGGTGCAGCGTCAGCGTGCGCAGAGAATGCAGCCACATTTGTTGTGCGAACTTCCCCACTAGCGCATTCCAGTTCATCGTTGTCATCAGTCGTATTGAATTTGCGAAAACAACACCCAGAATTTTAACTACATTGACTGTTTGTAGCCACTGAGTGTTGATTCTGTTGCCTTCGCAAAGGCCAACATCGACGGCAACAGTTTTCCGCAAATTTAATTTTGCGCCAGCAGCTCTCTCGAAACGAGTGAACAGCCTATTTATCTCATCGATTTGCCTGGTCGATGTGACGATCACACTGATGTCGTCCGCATACGCCACTAGCAGATCATTCCCGCACACTCTTTCGAGTCTGCACACTAGTGGATGCAGGTAAAGAACGAAGAGATGCATTGATAGCGGATCCCCTTGCCGTACAGAGCGTTGAATTTCGAACGGACGAGAAAGGTGCCCATTGATCAACAGCCGAGAGGTGGACCGGCTGGCGATTCGCGAGAGTAGAGCGATGAGATCCTGGTTGAAGCCGAGCGAGCGCATGGTTTCGAAGAGGAAAGAGTGCCGGACCCGATCGAAAGCGTGATCGAGATCAAAGCTGATTAACTTCCCGGCACGGCGGTGGTGGCGGAGATGTGCTATCCGGTCCTTGAGAGCAAGAGTGGCTTGAAATATGTTGTGCTCTGAGTTGGAGCATTTCTGCCCGTCGCTCAAGACGTGGTGCTCTCTCATCACTTGCTCGAGTCTGGTTTTGAGAATGCGGGAGAAGAGCTTGTAGTCGCTGTTGAGCAGCGAGATCGGACGATATGAACGGGCTGTGTCGTCGCCGCCTCTCTTCTTAACCAGCACGATGATGCCATCGACAAATGCTGGAGGAAGATTACCGCTGAGTGCTTCATTCAGCAACAGATTCAACTCTCGGTGGATGACGTCGAACATGCGGTGGTAGAACTCTCTCGGAATACCATCGCAGCCGGGAGATTTTCGTGGGGCGCTCGCTTTTATTGCAGACCAGATTTCTGCCGTCGTAATGTCGTCCGTGCAGGCTTCATTCGATGGGTCGTTGGGTGGGATAACACTCTCGCAGACGAAACTGTTCTCATTCTCTTCTGTTTCCTCCTCCGAGTACAGCGTCGAGAAGTAGTCCATCATATGCGTCTCGATCGCTCGTGGCTCTGCTACCGTTCCGTCTTGCTCTGTCTGCAGCTGCGTGATGACGGTTCTCTTCCTTCGCCTCTCCCCCAATTGGAATATTGACATGGGTTCTCCCGCCACATGTGTTTCATTCATTCGCATGAACGTGTAGGAAAATCTCCGTTGAAGTGCTAGCATTTCACCTTTCAACCGGTTTATGGTGGTTATCATTTCAGGGTGCTGGTAGTACCCGTCGTAGGCTAAGGCCGACAACATAGTAGAAGCGATTCGAAGCGATTCGATGCGATAGCAATTGGCAAAGCGAAATGCAGCGGCAAGCGAAGCAACCTATGACATAGTGAAAGCGTTTTTGAAAACATTACAGGCGCGCGCGCAGTGCAAAATTTTCCGAATCGATTTCGGTGTCCATTTTTCCTCACTAGAATCAGTCCACTTGCGTTCGAAGGCGTCAAAACACAACACGAACAGCTCTGTCGCTTTGCTGAACGCTTTACACCTCTTCGCATCGCTTTCACTATGGCTGGTTTGGGCGATTCCCATAGAACGCTCATAGAGGGTGCTTTCACGCAAGCGCTCCGCTTATTGCCAACGAATCGAATCGCTTCTACTATGTTGTCGGCCTAACCGAAGCTCGCTGTAGAGATACTGATGTTCTCTGTGGAATTCATCGAAGACGGCTCGAGATTTCCACTTGAAAAAGCATTTGATCTTGGGCTTAGCGAACAAAATCCACCATTCGATCCAGGAGCCATAATTTCTGCGCTGCCGGGTCCAATATTGCCACTGGTATTGGAACTCGGCAACGTTCTCGTCACTCAGAAGATAGGGCCGAAGGGACCAAAATCCACGGCCATGCTCTTGACCAAGATGGGGGAGACAAAGTCGGAGTACCAGCGCTTTGTGGTCGGTAAATGAGCAGACGTGTGCATGCGCTGCTCGCAGGTGATCGCGCAAATCACTGCTGACGTAAATACGATCGAGTCGCGACTGTGCGTTACGGCAGACGTACGTGAAACCTGGATCACGCGGACACAGTTTCTCCCATACGTCGTGGAGCTGCAGTTGCTGGACGGCTGTTTTGAGGGCGGGACTAGTGTTTGGGCTGCTAGAATCACTTGTTCGAAGCACGCAATTGAAATCGCCGGCCAGAATGAC